ATTCTTTATATATTCTAGTAGGGAGGAGGGGCGCCAGATAAAATCTTGCCTATAGGGCATCAAATTGTCTAGAACCGGCCCTGCTTTCATGTCATGTGATACCTTGCGTGACGAGCGAACCGTTTAATCAACCTGTACTGTACTGTATCAGCAGCAAGTTCGGCAGCATTATAAAAAATGTAATAGCTTGCATTTATAATGTAAAGCAAACCAAAGCACAAGAGCGGCTCTCAAAAGAGAAAGGACAAGAGAGAGTGTATGTCTGTGCGTGTGTGAGCGCATCAGCGTGCGCTTATGTTTGGGGCGATGGGGAAACAATATCTGCACCTTGTTACGCCACTGCTCCTGGTACTAGGATGAGTTGAAAGCAGAGAACAAAATGTCACTGTGTGTGCTGTGTGCTCTGCATGTGTGACCAATTCCAATTCTAATGAATAACCTGTCCATTGTTTTATCTTAGCATAGGCAGACATTACACTTATTTGCATATGCAGAACTTTTCGGAATTCAATTTGAGTGCCAAGAGAAACTTCCCTCTGAGAGATACAAACCCAATCTTCCTTTTTACCCATACATCTTGTGCTTGGTCTCGTAAAAACATGAGGAGAGAAAAGCAGAAAAACACAATGCATGCAGCGTCTGTTTTTCATGTCTTGCATATTTCCTGAGGCCTTGAACGTCTCGCTCTGTCCAGACACTGAGGTAACCCTCTATTAGTTTGCATTGAAAGCTTATCTCGAACAACTAGTTAGGCGACATATCTTCACTGTTGCTTCAACTGATAGACTCCTTGTCCTCGCTCTCCTTCCTCCACTCTGTCTTCACTCTGTGTGGACTCTGTGAACCCCCCCTCCCCACCCCCTGTGATCCTCCTATATTGAAATGCAACCGTTGAGTCTGATTTTCTATTTTCATTTCACATGATCCATATTGCACACATTAAACCTTTTTGACCCAAGGCCAGAACACTATGAAACTGTACCTCGCGAAAACACAGTGCCACTGAAACATTGAAACATAAAGAAACTAGATATATGAAGCCACGGCCAGCAGCCATGTAACAGTTTGGAACGTAGCCATGCGTGCTGTCTTTATACTTAGGTACAATTTAAGTATAATTAAAAATGTGCTATATAAATAAAACTTGATTTGATTTGATATAAATCACCACAGTGTAGAAATACTACATATTTTACTTCATTTTTTTAATAAATGTTATAATTGACCCATTGCATCATTTATTTGTTGATTATATATTTTGTATTGCTAATCTGAATCTGAAACACTACCAAAGGTATCAGACGTAGTAGAGGACAATATTTACCTCTGCGATGGAGTAGATTAGGAGTGTAAAGTAACTAAAAAAATGGAAACACTCAATCCAAATACAAATATCTCAACAGTTGGTATTTCAAAAGTGAATAAGCTGCTGACTGTAGCTTCCTTTGCAGTAGAGAAATATGAGAGAAATATGAGAAAATCTACAATTATAACCAAATAGATGCTTGGAACAAAATGAGAGTCATTTTCTTTTTAATTCACTCTGCAAAGCCTAAATAGCAACAGACAAGAAGCATATGGCTTTAGTGTCAGCCAAGATAAATAAGTATGGCTAGACCACATTCTTCGTGGGAAACGCACACTTCTGTAACATTAGCTTCTGCCGCGAATATACCAAATCTCTTTTAAAATGGAAAATTAGCAGAATGACTGTTTAGTTAGTGTTTATGACAGCAACTAGGACTTTTTCCTGACCTTCTCTTTGAAATATTGCAATTATAAACAACTACAGGTTCAGGTTGGAGGTCAAAGGTCAGGGATCTGTTAAGAGCAGGTATTTAACATTTAACTCATACTGACACGATCCACTTGCACAAGCAGTTATTTGTCATTCACTCTTATGTTTCTTGAACACTCAGATGTTAATACTCACCCCCCCTCTCCTCCTTTACATACAGTGATACAGGGAGACTTTGTGGATCCTCCTACAGAAGAACCCATCCTCTCTTTGTCAGAGAGGGAGACCGTCCTTCCCTGCCGCTACCAACTGTTGCCCGGCGACACCGTGGTGCAGGTCACATGGTACAAGGAGAAGCCAGATGCCACCAAGGACCAGATCGTCACTGCACACCACACTAATGGACAGACAGGTGGGCGCCTAGATCATGCTAACAAAGATTTAAGATTGAACTTCCCCTTTCCTCAGTGAGAAACTCTCCTTTCATGGTTTTCCAACTCATAAGTGGAACAGAGCTTTAAGCCAGGTGTTCACCACAATCTGAAAAATGAGAAACTGACTGTGATATCACAGATTCTGCTCTTTGCACCGTTTATTTTTGAATCTTGCACCCATTGTGAGTGTGAGACATGCTGGATGAGACTGTGAGCTAAATGCCCAGAATGTTAATGTAATTTCTTGCAAGAGGACGTGCAGCATGTGTATGGAACTGAAAGTGACAAAAGAAACCCTGGGGTCTGTTTTCTACTTGCTGGGCTTAATTATTTGTGTCCCATGGTCAGTTAACACTTTCTGTCTCTCTCCCTCTTTTCTTTCCCTCTGCAGCGTTTGGAGCGTGGTCTCAACGCGTGCGCTTTCAAAGCAGTGAACCCACCGTGGACTCGTCTCTGGTCATCATGAGCACCGAGGTCTCAGATGAGGGGAAATACCTGTGCCGCATCATCACCTATCCCTCTGGAAACTTTGACACAGAGATGTCACTCACCGTGTGGAGTGAGTCCCTTCAAATGGTCAAATACACAAAATAAAATGAGCTTAGAAGTCTCTTTCTGCTGGAAAACACATATTGCAAAATACATTCCATGACAATTACATGACTAACTGTTTTGTTGTTTTATTTTCAATATTGCACAATTAAATTCACAAAGAGATATTGAGCTTTATTACATGACTAATAAGGAAGTAAATATGACACAATAAACATACTCACTTATTATCTTATTTCAGTGAGTTGAAATACACAAGTTACAACCCTTATAAGGTAATAAACTCCAGGTAAGGAAGCCAAATGTGATTTATATAGGAGTTATGGGACTGTTAAAGTTAGGAAAGAAAGCTACATTGTTTATTATTCAGGTAATATAACCACTTAATTTAACACTCCTGTTAAGCAGGACATATGACATCACTATTATCTACCTGAGCCAACTACAGACCAATAAGAAAAACACAGAGAAGAACACAACTAAAGTTATGTTAAACAGCCAAAACTGTTTTAAATCTTATGGAAAACTGTCTTTCTGTCAAATTGCAAGATTTTTAAAGCACCTTTAGATCTCTCTCTAAGTCTATGTCTGCATTCCACTCTAACTATTCAGTGTGCTGACTTATCATTATCTTCCATCTGATCAAACATTGTAACAATTCCCCCCCAGCCATTCCCATCTCCTCCCTGGACCCTGTGATCCTGGTGGAGGGCCAGTCCTACCGGCAGGCTGCTTAAAATAACTAAGGAAATATTAATCTAATAAACATATGTTACTTCTAGGCTTAACTGCCGTTGTGCCAGAGTGATAGTGTGCACACTATGTCTCTATAATTCATTGTTAAGATCACCTATTCCTTTTCTATCTCATTTCATATGTATACAAAAAATGTAAGGTAGTCTTTTGTTTGGATTGTGTCTACTCTGCAAGGTACAAGAAGCTGTGTCTCCCTTCCACTATGTAACGTTCACCTAGATTACCATGGATACTTCCAGATCAAATATTCCAGTGTTTTGAACGGACTTAAATCGGTTTACCAGGTGATCGCAATCCACCGTTAGTTCCAGAGCAAAGAATTATATAACTTTGGAGAAACTCCATTACACCTTGTCTCTTAATAGAGGTAAGAGCGTTAATTTAGTGGTCTGTACTTGGTCACCTAAACGTTATTTTATCCACTAAATTACATTGTGACGGAGACATATCACGACTACTTTATGAGTGTCACGTGGTTGTTCGAACATAAAAGACTTGTGACGCCACGGGAAATCTGCAGCCTAACGGTGGTGATATGTCAGGTCGAAGAAGGTAATACAAGGACTTCCCCCACGTCCCTCAGTCACGCTCCACTGCCCGGGGCAATATCTCCTCGCTAACACTGACCGGTAAGTCCATAAGCCAAAGGGTCCTCTCCGCCCCCCCGCCGGCCCGGTG